ATCCTACTAACAATACTATACTCAGCAAACCAGTGCTTCTCAAGTTGAAATGAAAGGACACTAAATAGTAACACGAGAGCATAATAAAGTAGGGAACTCATTGATAAAGGTAAATATATGAACAAAATCAGAACATTATATTACTGTAAAGGTGGTGAGTAAATAGCTTTTACATCTATGAAGAAAGTTAAAAGACAAAAGTATTTTTAAAACCATTATAAGTATTATTAACTAAATTATGTTAATGGGTACTTAATATAGATATGAATTGAGACATCAATAGCATATAACATGGGGGGAGCAGAGCAAAAAGCAGAATTCTTTTACGCAAGTAAAGTTACATTGTCAACTTATAATAGACTGTTGCAAGTTATTTTATGTAAGCCTCCTGGTAACCACCAAGAAAATACCTATAGAAGTTACACAGAAAAAGAGAGGGATCAAATATACACACAAAAAAGAAAGGAATCATAACCTAAAAATACAGGGAAAAAAGAAAACAGCAAGGGAGAAAAAGAGGGACAAAAGAACAAGACAAATAGAAAGTTAACAAAATGACAATAGTAAATCTGTCTCTAGATTTACTTTAAATTCAAATAGACTAACCTTCCCAATAAAAAGATACAGCATGGCTGAATAGATTATTTTTAAAAAAACAAACAGGATCCAAATGTATGCTTTTTACAGCAAGCTCACTTTTGGATTCAAGGACTCTCAGAGATGGAAAAAGGTCCATGCAAATGCCAGCCAAAAGGGAGCCAGAGTGGTTAATACTTACATCACCAAAATAGGCTTTAATTCAAAAACTGTCTCTGGAGATGAAGGTCATTTCATAATGACAGAAGGGTCAGTTCAACAGGAAGCCATAACAGTTATAAATGCACACAGCATCAGAGCACCTAAGTACATACAACATTGACAGATCTGAAAGGAGAAACTGACAGCACTATAATAATAGGAGATTTCAATACTCCACGCTCAACAATGGATAGGACATCCAGACAGAAAATCAATAAAGAAGCAGTAGGCTTGAACAACTGGACCTGTGTAACAAATGGACCTGGTTGACATATGCAGAACTGTTCACCCACCAGTGGAAGAATGTTCATTTTTCTCAAGTACCCATGGAACGTTCTCCAGGAGAGATCACGTGTTAGGTCACAAAACAAATCTTAACAAATTTAAGATAGAAATCATACCAAGTATCTTTTCTAACCACAAGGGAATAAAACTAGAAATCAGTAACAGCAAGAAAGTGGGAAAAGTGTGAATTCATTTGTGAATTTAAAATTTGGCAGGGCTTGGTCAAGACACTCCCTGTTCTATATAATGTCCATCAGCTGGGGCCACTCAATGGGAGTGCAGGACCCCACTGAGGTTTCCACTGGCATGGTGACTCCTGTGGCCTGCAGGCTGATGTGGCTGTCAGCTTCTCCTGTGAGCCTCTCCATGGACAGCTTGGGTTTCTTGTAGAGTGACTAAATTCTAAGAACAAATGCCCCAAGAAAATTGGAAGCTCTATTTTTTTTTTGATGACCTAACCTCAGAAGTCACATAGTGCGACTTCCACTGTGACACAAAGTCTACCCTGATTCAGGGGAGGGAGTCAAAAGTCCACCTGGATTCCAGGGGAGGGAGCATCAGACCCCACCTCTCCATGGGAGTAGTTTCAAAGTCACATTGTAAGGAGTGCCATTGAGATATTGTTGATTTTGTTGCATTGACTTTTGGAAAATAATTTATCTGCACAGAGGTAAATTCTCATTAATTCTTATTGCACCATCCTTTTTTTTTTTTTTTTGAGATGGAGTTTCATTCTTGTTGCCCCAGGCTGGAGTGTGATAGTGTGATCTCGGCTCACTGCAACCTCTGCCTCCCGGGTTCAAGCGATTCTTCTGCCTCAGCCTCCCAAGTAGCTGGGATTAGAGGTGTCCACCATCACACTGGCTAATTTTTGTAATTTTAGTAGAGATGGGATTTTATCATGTTGGCCAGGCTGATCTCGAACTCATGACCTCAGGTGATCACCCACCTCGGCCTCCCAAAGTGCTGGGATTACAGGTGTGAGCCACCATGCCCAGCCCCACCATCCATTAATTAAGCTTCATGGTGTTCACTCAGGCACACAGGTGTTGCTCACATTTGCAGTGTACATAGTGATGCACAGTGCCTAAGCCAAGAACATTGTCACTGCAAGCTCCTACCCCTGGCTACATGCTAATCTGGATTTACAAGGCAGTCACTAGTGCTATTATTTTCATTTTACAAATGAGGAAACTGAGTCCTGGAGGGAAGAAAAGTCAATTTTCTTAATGTAATACAGTTAAAATAGGATTAAACTTTCAATTTCCTTATTTCTTAACTAGTGTTTTGTCTTTTCATTATTGTGCTTAATTTTATCTGATCAGTACAAACACTCGTATAGAGCTATGGGGATGCACATGTGTGCACAGACACACACACTGTGTGTATATATACGTTAAACTCAGTGCTTGCCTTTGTTGGGTGGAAATTCAGCTGCATTGGAGGACTTGACAGCTAGAGAAGCCAGTTTCAGGGACAGGAAACAGTATTGTTCAAGGGAAAGTTAGGACAAGGCAAATGAGCTTTTACAGAGCAACCAATTCCTCATGAGAGCCTTTGCATCTCACATGGCTAAAGGAAAGTGCTTTGGTTAGGGGGCTGGAGATTTTGTCTTGATGAACAGTGTGCTAGCACTGGCTCATTGGTTAGGGGGTGTCCACCACTGGGCTCCCCATTTGAGTGGTTGCTCTGCCTCTTAGGGCAATGTGTGGTATTTCACTGTTGATAAAGCAGCAACTACATGCCAGGCCCTGAGGGCAGGCACAGAGGCAAGCAAGACCAATACAGTGCTCCCACAGTCCTCTGGGGGCACCGTTTCAGCAGGGGAGACTAGCATTAAACAAGAAATGATAAAAGTGATCAGTTATGATTGAGATAAGCAGTACAAGGAAAAAGTATGTGGAACGATGAGAGCTCACAGTGGGCCTGAGCTTGCCCGGGGACTTGATTTGCTCGTTGAAGGGTGAGAGGACATGTACCAGGTGAAACACCTGGCAGAACCTGGAGAGCCGCTTGTGGGGAGGCCCCGGGTGGGAAGTTGTAAGGCCCACCTGAGTGATGGCTGGCATGAGAAGGCCAGGGTGGCAGAGGTGAGGAGGGTGCATGACAGATCTGGCAGCCTGCATGTCACCAGGTGGATTTAGGTCACATCCTCTTCTTCCATTCTCACCTCTTCCACCCCCACCTCCACCCCTTCACCCCTCCATGCCTCACAAAGTTGGACTGTCTTGCCGGTGACACAGGAAAGGCATATGTGATGAGGGGAGTATACCCTAAGGGCCCATCCAGGTTTTGTGGGACCTGAGACTTATCCAATAGAGGGTGGGGTCTTGAAGGAAAAAAAAAAAGAAAAGGTGAAATTATTAAAACAAAGTTTGTGCAAGACTTCCGTGGGGGGCGTGTCAGTGAGGGACCTCTAAGCTGAAGTTTCACCAGCTTAGTGGGAAAGCTCCCTCTGGCACTTTCCCTATATCCCGAAAGTTCATAAAGCCCTCCTTTCATCTTGTCTGAGACGTTAATGCCATCCTTACACCCACTTCCTCCTGTTTTCTTCTTAGTTGAGATGGCAAAGCACAAATATGTTGAAATCTCCTGAAAATTGGGCTCTTTCCTTGACCCCAGTAGTGTCCAAAAGAACATGGGAATTTCCTTTTTTTGCCCAAGACTTCCATGATATTTTCCCCGATAATCTAGGAAGGGAGTGTTGGCTGTTTTTCTTTTGGAAATGTGGCAGGGAAATATGAATTTCCATAGGCAAAATTACTCTGTCTGGTCAAGTCTAGACGGTTCATTGGCCAGCAAGTTTGCTGGAGCCCACACTGGCGCTCCGTCCGAGATGCCGCCCGGACTTACTCTGTGGGCAGGGAACAAATCACTTAGAACTACGTTTTGGGGAAAAAACTCAGAAACATGAGCAGTGACAAGGAAATTGAATAATAAATAAATTACAAGTAGAAGTTGTCAGCAGGCTCTTCTCTCCAAATCCCACTGAAGTGAGCAAAGCCACCTAACAGTAATGAAGGGTGTCTGTCATTTGGAACTTAGGGAGGCTGCTGTTCGTAGTTGTGAAACGTCAGAGAGGTTGAGACAGACTGAGGGGAAAACTAACAAGTCCTCCGGGGACCGTAGAAGAAAGCCCTAAGCCGCCTGCAAATGCTGCTGCTGGTGTCCTGGCAGGCCTCCACAGATAGGCCCAGGCCCAGGCGCAGCCAGCACGCTCTCTGGAAATATGTGGGTTTTGGCACGCCAAGCCTCTGCCCCAGCTCTGGGTGGGGCTTTGGCTGTTGAGAGGCCCAGTCTTGGTTAGAGAAAAGGCACTGTGTCCCTGTTAACTGCTGGCTGCCCCACCAAAAAAACTGGAAAGAATCTCCTTCAGTCTGTTGTGATTCCCTGAGCCTGGCAGCCTCATTGCCTTTGACAATCCTGTTGGTACTGAAAATTCAATACGGTCCCACTGCTCAGGCAGAACCTATTTCAAATAGAAATTTCCTGCCTCCCCAAGACACAGCAAATAGGGCTAAATGACCAGACTATAATCTGAGAGTTCTTCGCTCAGCTGGATTATCATTCATCTAAGAGCCTCTGAAAGACAGTCTTACACAAGCAGAGGCTGAAAGGACATCCACCACCACGAACCTCTCCTGAAAAAACTACTTGGAGGAGGACTGTAGACTAGGGAGTAAATCAGATAAGTAACGCACTCATGAAATCGTGACCACAGTTGACTTAGGCCTGCTTGGAGCTTGGAAGAACCCCTTCCCACGCTGGAGAGCTGGCTTCTCGGAGGTGGGTGGGAGTAGAGGCTCTGAGGGGCTCGGGGGGAGAATTCCCTCTGCTTTGCAAGAAAGGAATTGGCCACTGTGTACTCGTTTGCCACTCAATCCTGCCCTAACCTTCCTCTCCTGTCTCTCTCACAGACGGTTTTTGAAAGGAATTGCCGTTCGGAGGACTGCGCCGCGGACCTGCAGCTTCAGGGTAAACTGCTGCTCTCTAGGTACGTCCGTGTTGCCTTCACAGCGTTGTTCTCAGAAGCTCCTTTCTCTGGACTCCAGGCCCCAAACCCGAATGTGCAGATCTCCCCACTGAAGAGGATAAACTCAGTTGATGCATTACAATGATATTTTGTGGTTTAAAACAATGTATGTTACAAAATAATTTTAACAAGCTTTGTTGGGAAGATTGTTTAGGTTTTGTTTTGTTTGCAGTTCCACATCTCTCGTAATTTAGCTTGTATTTCTAATTTATGTGAGTATTCGGGGGAGTGGCTATTTCATGCTTCCTGATTGTATTAAGTAGAATCATATGAAATTGCCAATATTTGACCTTTTGGACAATTTCATGTGATTCAACCTATTATTACATAAAGGTTTATCTCCCCTGCCCCCCGCCACGCACACGCACACACACACACACTCAACGTTCGTGTGTGCTTTAACAACAAGTAACGTTTTTGTGGCAGGAGAGGGCTGAAGGAGAGGGGCGGCCTGTCCTGATCCCAGTGAACAGACTGTCTCTTTATTGTCTCACCATTTCCTCCCACACTTCGTGAATCCCCCAAGGCTAAAGGTGAACTGTACAGCAGCCTTCTGTTTCCTCTTTGCCAACCTTTTATTTTATACTTCATTTAGGATGAAGGTTCTGGTCCTGATCATTAGGCTCATTTCACAGAATGACTTTCTTTTGAAACAATTCCTTCCGAAAGGCTATTTTAACCTTGGGGCCAGAAACCCCTCCGTTAGATTTATTACCATTTCTGAAAAACAGTCACCAGTTTTGATAGTTATTTTCCAAAATGCCATAGCGTGTTCCTTACTTAAAACTATGAGAGTTAAGTTTGGATGAAATGAAATGAATATCCCATTATGAACCAGTGACTACACTAGGACCTTTTTTTTTAAATTATACTTTAAGTTCTGGGGTACATGTGCAGAACGTGCAGGTTTGTTACATAGGTATACATGTGCCGTGGTGGTTTGCTGCACCCATCAACCCGTCATCTACATTAGATATTTCTCCTAATGCTATCCCTCCCCTAGCCCCCCATCTCCCAACAGGCCCCAGTGTGTGATGTTCCCCTCCCTGTGTCCATGTGTTCTAATTGTTCAGTTCCCACTTATGAGTGAGAACATGTGGTGTTTGGTTTCTGTTCTTGGGTTAGTTTTCTAAGAATGATAGTTTCCAGCTTCATCCATGTCCCTGCAAAGGACATGAACTCTTCCGTTTTTATGGCTGCTTGGTATCCCATGGTGTATATGTGCCACATTTTCTTATCCAGTCTATCGTTGATGGGCATTTGGGTTGGTTCCAAGTCTTTGCTATTGTGAACAGTGCCACAATCAACATATGTGCACGTGTCTTTATAGTAGAATGATTTATAATCCTTTGGGTATATCTCCCAGTAATGGGATTGCTGGGTCAACGGTATTTCTCGTTCTAGATCCTTGAGGAATCGCCACACTGTCTTCCACAATGGTTGAACTAATTTACACTCCGACCAGCAGTGTAAAAGTGTTCCTATTTCTCCACACCCTCTGCAGCATCTGTTGTTTCCTGACTTTTTAATCATCATCATTCTAATTGGTGTGAGATGTTATCTCAATGTGGTTTTGATTTGCATTTCTCTAATGACCAGTGATGATGGACTTTTTTTCATGTGTTTCTTGGCCACATAAATGTCTTCTTTTGAGAAGTGTCTGTTCATATTCTTTGCCTACTTTTTGATAGTTTTTTTTTTCTTGTAAATTTGCTTAAGTTCTTTGTAGTTTCTGGATATTAACCCTTTGTCAGATGAATAAATTGCAAAACTTTTCTCCCATTCTGTAGGTTGCCTGTTCATGCTGATGATAGTTTCCTTTGCTGTGCAGAAGCACTTTAATTAGATCCAATTTGTCAATTTTGGATTTTGTTGCCATTCGTTTTGGTGTTTTAGTTAAATTTAATTGAAGGCTTTTTCTGCATCTAGTGAGATAATCATGTGGTTTTTGTCACTGATTCTGTTTATGTGATGAATTACATCTATTGATTTGCATATGTTGAACCAGCCTTGCATCCCAGGGCTGAAGTTGACTTAATCGTGATGGGTAGCTTTTTGATGTGCTTCTGGATTCAGTTTCCCAGCATTTTATTGAGAATATTCACACCAGTGTTCATCAGGGATATTGGTCTGAAATTTTCTTTTTTTGTTGTGTCTCTGTCAGGTTTGGATATCAGGATGATGCTGGCCTCATAAAATGAGTTAGGGAGGAGTCCCCCTTTTTCTATTGTTTGGAACAGGTTCAGAAGGAGTGGTAGCATTTTCTCTTTGTACCTCTGGTAGAATTCAGCTGTGAATCTGTCTGGTCCTGGGCTTTGGTTGGTTGGTAGGCTATTAATTACTGCCTCAACTTTAGACTTTGTTATTGGTCTATTCAGGGATTCCACTTCTTCCCAGTTTAGTCTTAGGAGGGCGTATGTGTCCAGGAATTTATCAATTTCTTCTAGGTTTTCTAGTTTATTTGCACAGAGGTGTTTATAGTATTTCTGATGATAGTTTGTATTTCTGTAGGATCAGTGGTGATATCCCCTTTGTCACTTTCTTTGTCATTGTATCTATTTGATTCTTCTCTTTTCTTTATTAGTCTGACTAGTGGTCTATTTTGTTGATGTTTTCAAAACAACCAGCTCCTGGATTCATTGATTTTTTTAAAGGTTTTTCTGTGTCTCTATCTCCTTCAGTTCTGCTCTGATCTTAGTTATTTCTTGTCTTCTGCTAGCTTTTGAATTTGTTTGCTATTGTTTCTCTAGTTCTTTTCATTGTGATGTTAAGGGTATCGATTTTAGATCTTTCCCACTTTCTCTTGTGGGCATTTAGTGCTATAAATTTCCCTCTAAACACTGCTTTAGCTGTGTCCCAGAGATTCTGGTACAGTGTGTCTTTGTTCTCATTAGTTTCAAAGAGCTTATTTATTTTTGCCTTAATTTTGTTATTTACCCAGTAGTCATTCAGGAGCAGGTTGTTTGGTTTCTACATAGTTGTGCAGTTTTGAGTGAGGTTCTTAATCCTAAGTTCTAATTTGATCTGAGACTGTTATGATTTCTGTTTTTTTGCATTTGCTTAGGAGTGTTTTACTTTGAATTATGTGGTCAAGTTTAGAATAAGTGTGATGTGGTGCTGAGAAGAATATATATTCTGTGTATATATATTCTGGAACAGTTCTGTAGATGACTGTTAGGTCCACTCAGTCCAGAGTTTAGTTCAAGTCCTGAATATCCTTGTTAATTTTCTGTCTTGTCAATCTGTCTAATATTGACAGTGGGGTATTAAGGTCTCCCACTATTATTGTGTGGGAGTCTAAGTCTCTTTGAAAGTCTATAAGAACTTGCTTTATGAATCTGGGTGCTCCTGCATTGGGTGCATATATATTTAGGATAACTCTTCTTGTTGAACTGATCCCTTTGTAATGCCCTTCTTTGTCTTTTTTGATCTTTGTTGGTTTAAAGTCTGTTTTATCAAAGACAAGAATTGAAACCCCTCTTCTCTTATGCTTTCCATTTGCTTGGTAACTATTCCTCCATCCCTTTATTTTGAGCCTATATATGTCTTTGCATGTGAGATGGATCTCCTGAATGCAGTACACCGATGGGTCTTGACTCTATCCAATTTGCCAGTCCGTGTCTTTTAGTTGGGGCATTTAACCCATTTACATTTAAAGTTAATATTGTTACATGTGAATATGATTCTTTCATTATTATGCTAGGTTATTTTGCCCATTACTTGATGCAGTTTCTTTATACTGTCGATGGTCTTTACTATTTGTTATGTTTTTGCAGTGGGTGGTACCAGTTGCTTCCTTCAGGAGCTCTTTTAAGGCAGGCCTGGTGGTGATGAAATCTCTCAGTATTTGCTTGTCTGTAAAGGATTTTAATTATCCTTTGTTTATGAAGCTTAGTTTAGCTGGATATGAAATACTGGGTTAAAAATTCTTTTCTTTGAGTGTTGAATATTAGCCCCACTCTCTTCTGGCTTGTAGTGTTTCTGCAGAGAGATCTGCTGTGAGTCGAATGGCCGCCTTCCCTTTGTTGGTAACACGATCTTTCTCTCTGGCTGCCCTTAACATTTTTTCCTTCATTTCAACCTTGGTGAATCTGATGATTATATGTCTTCGGGTTGCTCTTCTAGAGTAGTATCTTTGTGGTGGTTTCTGTATTTCTTGAATTTGAATGTTGGCCTGTCTTGCTAGGTTGGGGGAGTTCTGATATCCTGAAGAGTGTTTTCCAGCTTGGTTCCATTCTCCTCATCACTTTCAGGTACAACAATCAAACATAGGTTTGGTCTTTAGTCATAGCCCCACATTTCTTGGAGGCTTTGTTCATTCCTTTTCATTCTTTTTTCTCTGATCTTGTCTTCGTGCTTTATTTCATTAAGTTGATCTTCAATCTCTGATATCCTTTCTTCTGCTTGATTGATTTGGCTCTGATACTTGTGTATGCTTCACGAAGTTCTTATACTGTGTTTTTCAGCTCCATCAGGTCATTTATGTTCTTCTCACAACTGGTTATTCTAGTTAGCAATTCCTCTAACCTTTTTTCAAGGTTCTTAGCTTCCTTGCATTGGGTTAGAAAGTGCTCCTTTAGGTTGGAGGAGTTTGTTATTACCCATCTTCTGAAGCCTACTTCTTCTTTTTTTTTTTTTAATTTTTTATTGGATTTTAGGTTTTGGGGTACATGAGCAGAGCATGTAAGACAGTTGCGTAGGAACACACATGGCAGTGTGCTTTTCTTTCCTTCTCCCCTTCACCCACATTTGCCATTTCTCCCCAGGCTATCCCTCCCCACCTCCCCCTTGAAGCCTACTTCTATCAACTCATCAAACTCATTCTCTGTCTACTTTTGTTCCCTTGCTGGCGAGGAGCTGTGATCCTTTGGAGGAGATGAGGCATTCTGATTTTTGGAATTTTCAGCATTTTTGCGCTGGTTTTTCCTCATCTTCATGGATTTACCCACCTTTGGTTTTTG